ATAGTGTCTATAATACTGTAAGGGGTTCTTCTACATAGATCCTAGGAAATCCCAGGACATAGTGTCTATAATACTGTAAGGGGTTCTTCTACATAGATCCTAGGAAATCCCAGGACATAGTGTCTATAATACTGTAAGGGGTTCTTCTACATAGATCCTAGGAAATCCCAGGACATAGTGTCTATAATACTGTAAGGGGTTCTTCTACATAGATCCTAGGAAATCCCAGGACATAGTGTCTATAATACTGTAAGGGGTTCTTCTACATAGATCCTAGGAAATCCCAGGACATAGTGTCTATAATACTGTAAGGGGTTCTTCTACATAGATCCTAGGAAATCCCAGGACATAGTGTCTATAATACTGTAAGGGGTTCTTCTACATAGATCCTAGGAAATCCCAGGACATAGTGTCTATAATACTGTAAGGGGTTCTTCTACATAGATCCTAGGAAATCCCAGGACATAGTGTCTATAATACTGTAATAAGCTCATATAGTTGCTGTCACAACCTCCAAACTCCACACAGTTGTCCCTAACTGTGAGCAAACAATTTCTTTACTTCCAGCATTCATATTAATTCATTAATCAGGTTTATGCTTTGGCTGACTTTTTTTAGTTATTGACATTTGTCAATAGAATTCATCATTGCAACTGTTTATGTCAAATGGTAAAAACACTTCCTTCTGAGGCTAAATATACAGTGGGGAAAAAAAGTATTTAGTCAGCCACCAATTGTGCAAGTTCTCCCACTTAAAAAGATGAGAGAGGCCTGTAATTTTCATCATAGGTACACGTCAACTATGACAGACAAAATGAGATTTTTTTTCTCCAGAAAATCACATTGTAGGATTTTTAATGAATTTATTTGCAAATTATGGTGGAAAATAAGTATTTGGTCAATAACAAAAGTTTCTCAATACTTTGTTATATACCCTTTGTTGGCAATGACACAGGTCAAACGTTTTCTGTAAGTCTTCACAAGGTTTTCACATACTGTTGCTGGTATTTTGGCCCATTCCTCCATGCAGATCTCCTCTAGAGCAGTGATGTTTTGGGGCTGTCGCTGGGCAACACAGACTTTCAACTCCCTCCAAAGATTTTCTATGGGGTTGAGATCTGGAGACTGGCTAGGCCACTCCAGGACCTTGAAATGCTTCTTACGAAGCCACTCCTTCGTTGCCCGGGCGGTGTGTTTGGGATCATTGTCATGCTGAAAGACCCAGCCACGTTTCATCTTCAATGCCCTTGCTGATGGAAGGAGGTTTTCACTCAAAATCTCACGATACATGGCCCCATTCATTCTTTCCTTTACACGGATCAGTCGTCCTGGTCCCTTTGCAGAAAAACAGCCCCAAAGCATGATGTTTCCACTCCCATGCTTCACAGTAGGTATGGTGTTCTTTGGATGCAACTCAGCATTCTTTGTCCTCCAAACACGACGAGTTTAGTTTTTACCAAAAAGTTCTATTTTGGTTTCATCTGACCATATGACATTCTCCCAATCCTCTTCTGGATCATCCAAATGCACTCTAGTAAACTTCAGACGGGCCTGGACATGTACTGGCTTAAGCAGGGGGACACGTCTTGCACTGCAGGATTTGAGTCCCTGGCGGCGTAGTGTGTTACTGATGGTAGGCTTTGTTACTTTGAGGTTGTGGACAGGTGTCTTTTATACTGATAACAAGTTCAAACAGGTGCCATTAATACAGGTAACGAGTGGAGGACAAAGGAGCCTCTTAAAGAAAAAGTTACAGGTCTGTGAGAGCCAGAAATCTTGCTTGTTTGTAGGTGGCCAAATACTTATTTTCCACCATAATTTGCAAATAAATTCATTAAAAATCCTACAATGTGATTTTCTGGATTATTTTCTTCTCAATTTGTCTGTCATAGTTGAAGTGTACCTATGATGAAAATTACAGGCCTCTCTCATCTTTTTAAGTGGGAGAACTTGCACAATTGGTGGCTGACTAAATACTTTTTTTCCCCACTGTAAGGGCTGGATATGCAGATAAATGAACGTCAGATAAATGAAAAGCCGATTTTTGCTAGGGTCTCGGGACTGATAGGGTTAACCTTTATTTTACCAGGTTGTCACATTGATGTCAAACTACCTCTATTTCAAGGGAGACCTGGCCAAGAGTGCAGCCCCAGTAAAACACACACAAACACATTATATGGAGCAACACTCTCATAGGATTCAAGTCTTAAATGTTCAGTATCATTTGACTGTAAAGAAGTAAGGGAGAACTCACTCAAACTGATTCTCCAGCACTCTGACAGAGAAGTAGACACAGTCGTGCATCTTGCTGTGGTAACCTCTTTTCAGGACATCTGCATAGATCAAACATAACTCAAAGGGGTCAGCAAAGTCATATTTCCACCAATAAAACATTAATTAAACTGACCTGAGAGATAACGAATATTACACAATACCGACACAAATAAAATGTGAATTACAAAACATACTAATTATCTTACTTTTATCAGATCAACCACAACAATGTTTTTTTTTATCACGCTGTTCTCTCTTCATCCACTTCACACCTCTATACTGACTAGTAGGTCTGTAAAGGAATCTCCACCTCTCACCTGACTTCCCCGTACTTAGATCTGCAGCACAAAGAACAGCTCCAGGAACACATTGGGAACCAGGTTCTGTCAGAAACAGATAGACCAAACACAACACTAGTCTTCACCAGAACGATAAAATACACATTACACAACAGTACTAAAAGTATAGTTCCAAAAGCACAAAAACATATATGGGACCGTCCCAAGGCAAACCCCCCTTTCAGAAAGTCCAGTTCAGAGGTCAAGGTGACTTTGGAGGGGTCAGGACTGAACCCCTGGAGCCCGACCCCGCCCGGGGCCCTGATTTGGTAGGGGTGCATGGGTCCAGAGAGGGGGGTAGAGGGGAGCACACCTGCTGGGCACGTTCATGTCTAAAAGAAATAAGTAACAGGTTGAGAATGACAGCAAAGGAACAAGTGGGATAACTGAGATTGACAGAGTTAGAACAAGTTTACAGGGCACAGGTTAAGACAACTCCTGGATAAAAAATTACTTTCAATTGAGATTTTCCATGGAGCATGAATTTTAGTCCAGGACTAGGCTTGCTCCGTGTCTGGGAAACCAGTCCTAGAAGAAGTAAAACATATAGTCTGGATAAAAGTAAAAAGCAGCGTGTGTTATAATGGTGACTGGCCCTCCTTAAAACCTTTTACCACGGTGGGCTAAATCAGGGTTACACAGAGTGATTCTTGGTAGTCTTAAACAAATCTACTTTGAAACAAAAGTATACACCTCACACACATGGTTATGGGCTTACAAAAAAGAAGATGCCTGTACCATGTCAGATATATGTATTCAATTTTGAGTTTGCATCCCAATATTACACTTTATATACATCACAGAAGACTGAAATATAACAAAAGTGAGACCAAAGTGGTCTCTTTTGGTTTATTGACTGCAGGAAAGGGCTACCACACATACATCTCTCTCTTTAGCAGTTCTCTCTCCTCCTGCAGACAGAAGGGGGCTGCCCACGTTGAAGTTTAGGGCCCCAGGGGCGCCCCCGCCGATGACCCCAGGGAAGGTCCCCCCGATGGCCCTATTGACACCCCCTCCGATGGCCCCAGTAACTGCCTCTGGGACTTGGGGAGGGCTGGAGGGTCTGGTGCTGAAAGGGGTGGACGTGAAACAGATCTTAGCTCTGCACTGACTGGGGTTGGGTTGATCCTCCGTGATGGTTCCGTCTGCAGTCTAGTGGAGAGAGAACAGTATGTTATGTACATTGTTTTGGTTGATCTGATACAAGTAAGATTTGTTCATCAATTCACAGGTGAGACAAAATGAGTCTCAGCATCACTCCGTTACTGTGGAATTGCCCAATAGAATAGAACTCACGGTGGTGATGCGTGCGACGCTGCCATAGGTGGGAAGTCTTCCAGGTTGTTGTAGTTGAGCTGGAACGGCGTTGGCGTCTGAGCCTTTGAAGGCGACACGGCTGGGTCCCCCATCTTATTACCCCCTCCTTCCCACCACCATCGGATCTCCCTGGCCCTCCTTCTCAGTCTGGAACCCACCACCCTGCCTCCCCTGCCCTCCCATCCCATCCCATCCCAATCTTGGCACTCCTCCTGCGGCCACGCGGCTGCTGATGGACCCTCGGGCTGGGACTGTGTTGGTGGGGTTGGTGCTGGAGCTCTGGAGGGGACAGCATGAAATCCCCCAGACTGGCTCTGTGAGCAGAGAGGTGATCTGAGGGAGTGGCCCTGGAGGTGGAGGCTGGGGCTGGTCTCCAGGCTGAACTGAAGGAGGGACTACTGAGAACACCGACCCCACTTAGGCTGAAGCCACTTAGGCAGTGTGACCCAGACAGTGGGTGGGCAGTATCCCAATCAGCCTCAGAGGACAGGGAGGGAGCGGGGGAGAACAGCTGGACCCGGCTTGCGCTACGGGGACCTGTCCCAGGCCCGGTCGATCTGCAGCCCCCCCTGCGCTCTCTGGAGAAGCCTGGCCCCTGCTGAGAGGGCTGGGATACCCTGGGGGCGGCTGGGAGTCTTGGCGGGAGTGGAGTTTTGTTTACATCCGTTCTACGATGACATTTCGTTGCGCATGCAAAACTATTGCAAGCAACACCACAAATTCGACTCCATCTCGGTTTACATTATTTGTCACTTACCTCGTCATGTTTGAGCCATTTTACGACCTTGATAGACTCCACTTTCTTCTGTGGCGGCGATTCCAAAAGAGCAGCCTTTCTGGTCTGAGCAGGAGCTGTCTGCCTCTAGCAGCTGCCTGCTTGGAGTTGGAGGCAGGACAGAATGGGAGCAGTCGCGCAAATATTGCTAGTGCTATCTGGGGTCTTTGGGACGTCCCTACCCTAAACCTTAAGCAAAAAAAAAATTCATGAACCCATAACCCTTACCTAATCTTAACCTTTAAAATGTTAACTTCAATGGGCTGACGTCAGAGTTGGCATGTCCCTTATCCCTTTCAGACTTTCCCCAATGTTGGCGCATTGCACTGGGGGGCGCTGTAGTACTGGTTCTGTAGGCTTACTGTCAGATTGCTTTCTATGGCTGAGAATCGAGTAAACAGAATTCAAATCGAACCTGTTCGAATACCATCTACCTGTCACTGGACCACTTCTCAATGAAAAGAAATAAGCAAACAGTCAGGTGTATTATTTTTCTGCATGCTGAATTAGTATTTTATTTATAACCAGTTTATAAAAATAAAATACAAAATAATTTTAAACGAACAGAAAAAAACACTGTACAAGCCATTGATATGGTACAAATGATAAAATAAACATAATTAATTACAATTATGTACAATGTAGATCTTCCCCTTGTTACAGTCTTTCCTTGTGACTGTACACACATTTCAAAACCGTTGCAACACAGGACTAAAACGTGAACCATTTCAAGAAATATCTAAAACTGAAGCCACACAGGCAATGGGTGTCAACGATGAGCATCCATATACCCAATATATCAATAAAATCAATTTCTTGTTGTTTGTTGTTGTTGTTTTTTAGATGTTTAGCCTATTGGCCCAAAAACGTCCAACAACACAGTATCTGTGACCTGGCCATGAATGAAGTACAATCATTGGAGCGCAGATACAGGCAGGCTGTGACACCTTTACAAATCACACCACCATACAGTCAGTAACAAATCATAATCTCAGGCAGGAAAGTAACAATATACCACTTTGTTTGTGCAACAATAACAATAAAATACCAATATAAAAAATTGATTGATTATTGGCATCACTGTTTATTCCTTTAGCTCTTCCCTTTTACTGAAGCCTTTACTGAAGCAATGTGTTATGGTTCATCAAGATGATCTTTGAAATGAATACTTTTTACTGTTTATATATTAAAAGCTGCAGTTAGTTAGCTTATGGAAGTATCGAATATAGCCTAGGATTTAAAAGATAGCTCAACACTGCTTAGTGTGGTACTATTATATGGACGTTCACGTCACAATCTCTGGATGTAAAAACAGACCTTTATCATACACCCAAGAGGAATTTAAAACCCTTAGAACACTCAACCTCGGTTCTGATTCCAGAATCCAGACACATCTCACTGGTTACTGACGTTGAAGTCACGCATTCTGTCCAGTTAATGGACAACTTGATTGGGCCAAACGGGCCAATAAGAACAGAGCTGCCAACAGAAAGCAAAGCTATCTATCTGAAAGCTAAACACCAACAATCTGGCTCTAATTTGCTGGAGAAATAGTTCCCACAGATCTGTAAAGGCAGGACAACACACACACACACACACACACACACACACACACACACACACACACACACACACACACAGTCATACTTTCACACGCTTCACATACGCTGCTGCTACTCTGTTTATTATCTATCCTGATTGCCTAGTCACTTTTACCCCTACCAACATGTACATTTACCTCAGTTACCTCATACCCCTGCACCTTGACTCGGTCACCGGTACTCCTTGTATATAGTCTCGTTACTGTTATTTTACTGTTACTATTTCCCTTTGTTATTTAGCTAATTATTCTTACTTTTTGACTCTGCATTGTTGGGAAAGGGATCGTAAGTAAGCATTTCACTGTAAAGTCTACATCTGTTGTATTCGGCGCATGTGACATATAAAATTTGATTTGATTTGAACACACCTGTCAAGGACGGAAAGGGAGAACCTTCTACAGTCTATGGGAGGAACCTGACAGTAGGTTGGGGCTAAGCAGTGGAGTGATCCTCAGCACAGAGTAGACAAACAGACAGACACAGTTCAGTCATCCCTTGCTTTACACACAGCCAGGGGAAGAGAAGAGAAAATACATGATTAAGGCGACTGACTGAACACTGTCTGTGTCTGCCTTGGAATGAGTCCTATCATAGCTGCTGTGAGACAGGGGGGGGGGGGGGGGTCCAGGCTGCTTACATGTTGCTCTGTGAGAAAGAGGGGGCGTTCCAGGTTGCCTACATGTTGCACAGATCATCAGATCATTTAGTCATTGATGGGGTTCCTGCAATGTTAAACACTACTCTCTTTCACATTTGTAGAGATCTTAGTTCAATCAGATCTGTATCAACCTGTCTGCAATGTAAGCGACCTGGAATGCCACCAGACTGTAGGCAGGTACCAAAAACATCTACCACAATGGACCAAGTAAAACAATCCACTTGACATACAGTATCTCATTACATATTCATCTCATACTGCGGAATTACAGTAGATCTTGCCACACTGTGTATTGGTTGTATGATGCAAATACTTTAGATTAAGGCAAGTCTTTTCCTCTTCACATGTTATTCATACTATGCATGTGTCACATCATGATAATAAGCCAATCAGACCATACTATGCATGTGTCACATCATGATAATAAGCCAATCAGACCATACTATGCATGTGTCACATCATGATAATAAGCCAATCAGACCATACTATGCATGTGTCACATCATGATAATAAGCCAATCAGACCATACTATGCATGTGTCACATCATGATAATAAGCCAATCAGACCATACTATGCATGTGTCACATCATGATAATAAGCCAATCAGACCATACTATGCATGTGTCACATCATGATAATAAGCCAATCAGACCATACTATGCATGTGTCACATCATGATAATAAGCCAATCAGACCATACCATGCATGTGTCACATCATGATAATAAGCCAATCAGACCATACTATGCATGTGTCACATCATGATAATAAGCCAATCAGACCATACTATGCATGTGTCACATCATGATAATAAGCCAATCAGACCATACCATGCATGTGTCACATCATGATAATAAGCCAATCAGACCATACTATGCATGTGTCACATCATGATAATAAGCCAATCAGACCATACTATGCATGTGTCACATCATGATAATAAGCCAATCAGACCATACCATGCATGTGTCACATCATGATAATAAGCCAATCAGACCATACTATGCATGTGTCACATCATGATAATAAGCCAATCAGACCATACTATGCATGTGTCACATCATGATAATAAGCCAATCAGACCATACTATGCATGTGTCACATCATGATAATAAGCCAATCAGACCATACCATGCATGTGTCACATCATGATAATAAGCCAATCAGACCATACTATGCATGTGTCACATCATGATAATAAGCCAATCAGACCATACTATGCATGTGTCACATCATGATAATAAGCCAATCAGACCATACTATGCATGTGTCACATCATGATAATAAGCCAATCAGACCATACCATGCATGTGTCACATCATGATAATAAGCCAATCAGACCATACTATGCATGTGTCACATCATGATAATAAGCCAATCAGACCATACTATGCATGTGTCACATCATGATAATAAGCCAATCAGACCATACCATGCATGTGTCACATCATGATAATAAGCCAATCAGACCATACCATGCATGTGTCACATCATGATAATAAGCCAATCAGACCATACTATGCATGTGTCACATCATGATAATAAGCCAATCAGACCATACTATGCATGTGTCACATCATGATAATAAGCCAATCAGACCATACCATGCATGTGTCACATCATGATAATAAGCCAATCAGACCATACTATGCATGTGTCACATCATGATAATAAGCCAATCAGACCATACTATGCATGTGTCACATCATGATAATAAGCCAATCAGACCATACTATGCATGTGTCACATCATGATAATAAGCCAATCAGACCATACTATGCATGTGTCACATCATGATAATAAGCCAGTCAGACCGATGTAAAAAATAAATACAGTTGTTCCTTTATTAGGTGTATTAATCAGTCAGTACAGTAGTCCTAGGACGTGATCTTTGGAGAGCTAGGAAACCAGATCAATGCTGTGGGCCAGATAGGACGATAAGAGTGAAGCGTGATCATCATGAGAAGAAAGGGAAAACTAAGCAAAGGAAATATTCCAACCAAAATACATACCGTACTATCTAACATGAAACATAATTCCCTTTCAGACAATCACAGTGCATTATGGGAACTGGTATGCTGCTTACTTCACTGATTGGTTGATTGTTTTTCTATTTTCTCGGTAGGCAGAGCATGCAAGGAGTAGTAGTAGCGGAAGCAGGAGTTAGTTATGTTACAGTATGTTACAAGCAGAGGGGTGGGGAGAGGAAGCCTGCGTATCAGTTTCTGCTATCATTCCACTCCTTGTCCTGCCAATGCTTGACAATGACATGTACAAGGAGTGGAATGTCAGCACAAAACCGGTTCTGGATTTCAGGCTAGGGGAGAGGGTGTAGTAGGTAGAACTAAGGTCAAGTGAGGGAGGTTTTACGTGATAGTGTTCATTGAGTCTTTATGAAGTAAAGAAAATGGGTTTGGTTCTCAAACAATACATTAACTGTTTGAGGTAAAGTGCACAAAACATGTCATTACAAAACAAAGAAAACATTATTCTTCGCATGTTTTTTTATCCTTTGGAAGTTTGAAACATTGATTTGGTATGTGATATTTATATGGCATAAATCAGTGTTTCCCAACTCCAGTCCTCCAGTACCCCCAACGCCAGTCCTCCAGTACCCCCCAACGCCAGTCCTCCAGTACCCCCAACGCCAGTCCTCCAGTACCCCCCAACTCCAGTCCTCCAGTACCCCCCAACTCCAGTCCTCCAGTACCCCCAACTCCAGTCCTCCAGTACCCCCAACGCCAGTCCTCCAGTACCCCCAACAGTATGTCCTGGACAAGCACACCTGATTCAACTTGTCAACTAATCATCAAACCCTCAATGAATTAAATCAGGTATGTTTGTCCGGGGCTACAACAAAAATGTGTCCTGTAGGGGGTCCTGGAGGACTGGCGTTGGGGGTACTGGAGGACTGGAGTTGGGGGTACTGGAGGACTGGAGTTGGGGGTACTGGAGGACTGGCGTTGGGGGTACTGGAGGACTGGCGTTGGGGGTCCTGGAGGACTGGCGTTGGGGGTACTGGAGGACTGGCGTTGGGGGTACTGGAGGACTGGCGTTGGGGGTACTGGAGGACTGGCGTTGGGGGTACTGGAGGACTGGAGTTAGGGGTACTGGAGGACTGGAGTTGGGAAACACTGGCATAATTAGTATATTATTTGACATAAATGTTGGACCTGTCCTCAACTTTATTCAAAACAGGATATCTACGTTTTAGTTTAAAACATTTCCTTTCTTTAATATCATAAATAAAAATGATCTTTCTTCAAATATTGTCTGAATAAATCAAATAAAAACATTCACTTTGCTTCCTTGTCCTTGCAGTGAATAATACTGCTGCACTCACATGAAGAGGACTGTCTGTTTTTGCAGCTGGCACAAATTAGTCTTATTAGGCTCCTTGAATAAAAATCAGAAATGTACATTGTATTGAAACCAGAAGCTGCCCAAAGTGCCAAGGCAAGGCACACATTATACATTAATAATAATAACTTAGTGTTGTCTTGTATTCACTACTAGTGTAGTAATGAGTACCATAAGAGCTATCAGCAGGCATCACAATTCTCCCCCCATCCATATATTTAAATTAATTGGGTTGTTGTAAGCATGGGCAAGGCCAGAGAGGGTTGCCATTATATCTCTTACACCATTCCTTTCCTATTAAGCCCAGGGCAGAAGGGTAAAGAATTGGGTCACAAAGTCAGACTCCATTCTTAAGAGGAGGATACTAAGGGAACCAAGGCCCAGTGACTGGTGTTCAATCACACATTTAGTTTGACATGTAGATTCCCCAGATCAGTCAAAACAACAGGCACAAGTACGTGTGTGAGCACACACACACACTTCATATGATTGTATTAAAGGAAGGATCACTTCCTTCTCAAAAGACTGGTCACTTCTTTCGTTGATCGATTGATTGCTTTAGAACACTCACTATACTGTTCATCTGATGTCAGAGTGAGAGAGAGAGAGAGAGAGAGAGAGAGAGAGAGAGAGAGAGAGAGAGAGAGAGAGAGAGAGAGAGAGAGGACACATCAATCGATAATGTCATCAGTTAGTGTGTACCTGGTGTGACAGGTGCGTCAAGATGTAAATAAATAGGATCTGTAGATAGTGTACATTTCTCTAGAGCTTCATGGCCATACATGTAGACCTGCTATACCCTGCACTCCCCAGGTCAATACAGAGGAAACAGAATAGACTGAGTCTATATTCAATTGGTTAGTGATGAATAAATGAGTGCTCATCCACTGACTGATCTACGGTCAGTGGAAGAGGGCTAAGTGTGTTCACTTCACTGATGAGAGGGAAAACACCCCACAAGTAAGAACCCCAAAATCTTATACACAGCACAATGCACATAGATCCTTTTCGCATGAGGTATGAACAATTAACATGGGCATATGAATTAGTGACTAAACAATGACAAAATGGAAGGAATTAGAGAAGAAAGTGTGAAGGATTACAAGTGAGAGAGAGAGAGAGAGAGAGAGAGAGAGAGAGAGAGAGAGAGAGAGAGAGAGAGAGAGAGAAACTGACAGAGGAGGAGAGGAGGGACATTAAGGTCAGTATTCTCTGACAGGAGCCTCAGGTCTTCAGTGATCCAGAGCATGATTGTTTGGTCTGGATCAACATCCTGATCCCACACTCTGCTGTGGCAACGACACTGACCCCCAGGCCATACTCATAAAGCATCTCACAATAGGACTACTGATCTAAGATCAGTTTAACCTTTTAGGTCATAATGAATACGATTGTCTATGTAATCTTATTCACTATAACCTAAAAGGCAAAACCGATCCTAGCTCAGCAGTCCTACTCTGAGACCCTTGAATAAACGGGCCCAGAGGTTTCTATGGGTCAGGCTAGGACCAGGGCCAGAGCAGTGACCCACTATCTGCTGCTCAGCTTGCTGGAGCACTTCCTCTCTCTCTCCTCGTGGCTACAGACTTTCCACTTGAGGGCGTGGTGGTGGAGGGTACCGGTGCGGGCCTGGCGGCCGCAGCAAATCTCCTGGTGGTGAGGGTAGGAGCGCCGGGGAGGAGGGGGGGACCCAGAGAAGTTGGGAGGAGAGCAGGAGCGACCGAAACAAACCCCTCCGCCTCTCTCTCCCCCGCGGTGTTCGTGGCGAGAGGGAGAGGAGGAGACAGAGCGCTGTAGAGAGGAACAGCTGCGTGGGGAGGCACTGGAGCTCCGGTGGTGATGGTGGTGGGGGGAGCTGGTCAGGCTACACACGCCCATCCGGGACCCTACATGCTGGGCTGAGGAACGGCCATGGTGGGGGGAGCCGCGGGCAGAACCACCACCCTGACCATGGTGCATCAGCTGGGACAGGCAGGTCAGGAGGTCTGAGTCACTGGAGCTGCCCGCTCGGATCCGATAATGCCTCAGTCTTGGGTGGAGGAAGGGGGTGGGGTTTAGGGAAGATGGAGAATGGGTTTAGAACTTTAGATATACATTTTAAATGTAGATCATTAAGGCAAAATGAGAGTAATTCAGTTAATGATAGTAGCCTCATTCCAGATCTGTTGGTGCTGTCTTGCCAACTCCAAACATTGGCATGGCAATGAACATATAAGCGGCAAGACAGCACCAACAGACCCGGAACCAGGTTACTATGATAGATGAGATAAACATGTAATTAAAGCTAATCATGAAGTCATATTACCTGCCCTCCGCTGCAGGTCGACTGGGTGGTCTCCCCGGGGGTGGGCGTGGTAGGTACTGAGCAGCTCTCTCCTTCTCTCGGGATGGGTTAGGAGGGTTAAAGGGCCGCGGGATCCTGCTCTTACGGGACAGGGGGCTGGAGGAGGAGGAGAGGGAGGGGGCATCATCCCCCTGGCAGTCGGAGCGTGAGCCCAGGAACGACTCATCGGCCATCTCAGAGCGGTCTGAGGCAGAGGACAGCTGTTCCCCGCGGGGGAGCGAGGCCACGACAGGGCCGTGATGGGAGATAGAGGGAGAGGCGGTGGGATGGTGGCCTCCTCCCTGGTGGTGGTGGGCTTTCTTCTGAAGCAGCTTCTCCATGGCAGAGCCAGGGGTGGGGAGAAGGTCCAGCAGGACGGAGTGCTCCAGGACGGGGATACGGCTCAGCCTGCAGGAGGGGTCTTTACGGGGAGAGGACGGCGGGGAGGGGGTGGTCAGAGCTGGGGCTTGGTCAGTGGTTTCCACCCCATCTCCCCTGTCTGGCTGGGGCTGGTCACTCTCAGGGTCTTTGAGCTCTGGGAAGGCTCCACTGCCACTGCCGTCTCCCTGGCCGTTAAATGGGGGAGACAGATGGCCGTTGACTAGGCCTAACAGTGGGCTGTGGGGGGAGCGGGGGGAGTGAGGGGAATTAGAACGTGGAGAATGAGGAGAGCGGGGGGAGCGAGGAGAGGACACTCGGCTTGGCACAGGGCTGTGGGCTTTGGTGTAGGTCTGGGAATGGGTGTCTCCTCCATTGATCAGGGTATCTGCCAGGAGGTCATCCAGGGTGGTGGGGCTGCCGGGCTGGCTAGGGGTGTGGGTAGGGGTGGGCAGGACGTGGATGTCAGCGGTATCAGTATTATCCTGGGCCTGCTGGGCCTCAGCTGCTGCATCACCTCGTCTCTCCAGCTGGAGGCACTGTGGAGCACTGTCTGAGCCAGACTGTGACTGCTGAGTCTGTCACCTCAAAGCGAGGGAAATGGAGAGATAGGTAGAGGGGGGAGGGGGGTTGGGGAGAGAGAGAGAGAGAGAGGAGAGAGAGATAGAGGAGAAGAGAGATAGATAGATAGAGAGTGGGGGCACGGACTGAGAGAGAGCGAAAGATCACGTATCGAGCGTTTGTTTTTCTCTCTCATCTTTCTCTCATGCGTCTCTCGCTAGATGGAGCTCTCTCTCTCTCTCTCTGCTCTCTCCGTCTTCGCGCTTCGCTCTGCTCGGGCGCTCTCTCTGCGCGACGCTTTCGTCTCTCTATCCGTCAGATATGCTGGTTTACACAAGAAATGAGTCAATGATTGCATTGTAAGAGATCATGTGAAAAGATTGAATGGAGATCATAACATGATCATAACATGACACAGCATCATCAAGGCAATGCCAGTCAAGCTGTTAGTTGGTATCAAAAAAGCAACAAGACAGACCTGGGTCAAATCTATAATGTATTTGATTTAGCTTGGAGTTTTGGGACTATTCCATTGTGCCTGAAATGCTTAATCAAGCACCACTCAAGTATTTGACACATGTATTTAACCCAGGTCTGCAACAAGAACAAAAACATTCACACAACCAATCAGGGGACTACAAAAGAGAGAGGGAGTCAGGGTCAGTAACAAAAAGAGAGAGAGAACGGGAGGAAATGAAAGAACAAAAGAGAGAGACAATCCACCAAAACAAAGGTCCCTGTCACGCAATGAAGAAAAGTGTAATTGCAATTTCATTTCCACTCTGAATTGACCCCAACCCTTCCCCTGACACAAGGACACATGGATCTGAGCATGCTCTGTCTGCATCACAATGACCTGCTGTTCTCTGGAGAAGCAGCCTGCCTGACGACAACAACAACACAACACAACAACAACACAACAACACAGCACAACACAGCACAACACAACTAACACACTAGCAGCAAAAGGAAACAAAAAGAACAACCAAGCCAAACTATTTAAAAACTAGTAACTAATAGTGGAGGGAGTTAGGTAGGCGGTGTGTTATGGTTAAGATAGAGACGTCTGATTGGTTCGTGGCCCCGTTGGTGGATTGGTCAATCACCTGCTGGAGTTGGGCGCGTGTGATGCGTATAACGGAAGGGAACTTGCTGTTGGCGGCGCCCGCCGGGATAGCTGGCAGTTTCCTGCGCCCGGCGGACGATTGGTTACGGGCGGAACCGAGGCCAGGGTGAGGAGGTGGCAGTAGAGAGGTGTGGTAGGAGGAAGAGGAGGTGGGACGGAGGAGGTACTGGTGGTGGTGATCGGCTGAGTAGCTGCGCCTCATCCCAGGGGGGTCCCTCTGGTGCAGGGGGTCCGACAGGGTGGTGAGGAGGGTCTGGGTGTGCGGGCTGGGGGAACGCAGGAGCAGGGGACTAGACGTCCTGGCCAACATCTCCTCAGGCAGAGACGGAGGAGAGGTAGGGAGCTAAGAGAGAGGAGGTAGAGGGGGAGGTGGAGGTGAGGGAGAGGGGGAGAGGGAAGGAGGGAGATGGAACAAGGGAGAGGGGGTGGGAGAGAAGAGGGAGAGGGAGAAGTAGTGTGGAGGGAGAGTGGAAAGAGAGGGAAGGTGGTGAAAGAGGGGAGATGATTTGAAAAGATAGAGTAAAGTGGGAAGAGAGAGAGGACGGAGTGGGATGGCGGAGGAATAGAGTGGGGGACAGGGGCGGATAGGAGTGGGGGTGAGAGAGGGGGAGGAGTATAGCATATATTTAGAACTTAAAGGGAGCGGGCGTCGAGGTGGGAGGAATTCTGAGATCTCAAACGTCTCCTTAGAGGAATCACACAGGTGTACTATCTGTTTCCTCAGACAGCACCATTTGAGAAAGGGTCAACCCAGGACAAAAACTCAAGTGTAGATAAATCAACATAGAAAATTAAAGTTATAAATAAAGAGCAAATAATGATATCAAATGCAAATCAAACCGCTCTTTCAAATGCAAATCAAACCGCTTTTTCAAGCAACGGCCTCTCTCAAACAAAACCACTGTCTGAGGAGTATCCTTCCTTTTATCAAGCTCACACAAGCAAACAAACAAGCTCACATGACATAAGAGACCACGATCACATTTTACTTTAAACTACTGCAAGATGCTACTGTTGACCTAGATGAATGAAGTGTCTTATTGTGTATAGTTCTGTGTTAAGGTGTATTACTCTATCTGTGTACATTGCATGATATGTCTTGACCTGCGTGAGTTGTGTTATGGTGAAGTGTGTTACAGTGAGGTACTGTATGTAATAGTGAACTGTTTTATACTGAGGTATGTAATAGTGAAGTGTTTTACAGTGAGGTACTGTATGTAATAGTGAAGTGCTTTTCAGTGAGGTATGTAATAGTGACGTGTTTTACAGTGAGGTATGTAATAGTGAAGTGTTTTACAGTGAGGTATGTAATAGTGAAGTGTTTTACAGTGAGGTATGTAAAAGTGCAGTGTTTTACAGTGAGGCATGTAATAGTGAAGTGTTTTACAGTGAGGTATGTAATAGTGAAATGTTTTACAGTGAGGTATGTAATAATGAAGTGTTTTACAGTGAGGTATGTAATAGTGAAGTGTTTTACAGTTAAGTATGTAATAGTGAAGTCTTTTACAGTGAGGTATGTAATAGTGAAGTGTTTTACAGTGAAATATGTAATAGTGAAGTGTTTTACAGTGAGGTATGTAATAGTGAAGTGTTTTACAGTGAGGTATGTAATAGTGAAGTGTTTTACAGTGAAGTATGTAATAGTGAAGTGTTTTACAGTGAGGTATGTAATAGTGAAGTGTTTTACAGTGAGGTATGTAATAGTGAAGTGTTTTACAGTGAGGTATGTAATAGTGAAGTGTTTTACAGTGAAATATGTAATAGTGAAGTGTTTTACAGTGAGGTATGTAATAATGAAGTGTTTTACAGTGAGGTATGTAATAGTGAAGTGTTTTACAGTGAAGTATGTAATAGTGAAGTGTTTTACAGTGAGGTATGTAATAGTGAAGTGTTTTACAGTGAAATATGTAATAGTGAAGTGTTTTACAGTGAGGTATGTAATAATGAAGTGTTTTACAGTGAGGTATGAAATAGTGAAGTGTTTTACAGTGAAATATGTAATAGTGAAGTGTTTTACAGTGAGGTATGTAATAATGAAGTGTTTTACAGTGAAGTATGTAATAGTGAAGTGTTTTACAGTGAGGTATGTAATAATGAAGTGTTTTACAGTGAGGTATGTAATAGTGAAGTGTTTTACAGTGAAATATGTAATAGTGAAGTGTTTTACAGTGAGGTATGTAATAATGAAGTGTTTTACAGTGAGGTATGTAATAGTGAAGTGTTTTACAGTGAAGTATGTAATAGTGAAGTGTTTTACAGTGAAGTATGTAATAGTGAAGTGTTTTACAGTGAGGTATGTAATAATGAAGTGTTTTACAGTGAGGTATGTAATAGTGAAGTGTTTTACAGTGAGGTATGTAATAGTTAAATGTTTTACAGTGAAGTATGTAAATCTAGTCCATGAGGTCTGTACCTGTGTGAGTGCTCCCTCAGCCAGGCCCTCAGCAGGGCTAGTGGGGTTGACGGGGGGCAGGCTTCCCAGGGGTCCCACACTCAGCTCCAGCCTGTCCACTACGGGGGATCCTCCGCTGGCCCCTGGTAGCCCCTGGAGGTCCCCATCCCTGTCCCCATGGACCTGACCAGGACTGGGGTTCCCCGTGGACCCTTCTCCTGCCCCAAGGGGTACCTCCAGCACCTCCAGCTCCTCTTCTTCCTCCTCGGAGGGACTGGTCGTAGCCTTATCCCCCATTCCGGTCCCTGTTCCTGGGGACCCACTGGGCCTCTCTATCATCACCCACTCCCTGGAGTCCACCTCCCCCCGGCCAGAGCTCAGGTTGAGGGCCACGAAGCCTCCGCTGCTGGGGGCCCCCTCACCCTGCTCCAGAGACCCGTGGGAGTGAGGGGAGATGGGTTTGGGTGAGCCGCTGGCGCCCCCACCGGATAGGAACTCCTCATCGTAGTGCCAGACTCGGTCAGTGCCACCACGCCCTGGTCCTGTGGCACCTCCATTGGGTACAGCCAGACCCTGGTCCTGGCCTACCTCAGACCCCTTCTCCTGCTGCTGCCCACAGCCCTCCTGCTGATTCCCTGAGCTGGAGAAACACACCGACTGATTGAACAGGTCAGGCGATGGCAGATTATAACATAGTAGTTACTGTGCTATTGTATGGTTGTTAGCAGCAGGGTTAGCACTAGCAAGGTTGAGGTCAATTCCATTGAAATTCAGTCAGTTTAAAACAAACGTTTCAATTCTTGTATAGGAACTTTTGTTAATCTCGATGAATATCCTGAATTGACTGAGTTGCAGTAGAATCAAGTCCCTGGTTGTTATGTTAGTGTAGTAAGGAAGGTACAGAAGGACAGGGGGTAAGTAGGGGTACTGACCATGCCTCCATGAAGCGTTCATGACTGGGCTTGGCCTCCAGGGTCAGCCTCCTGTCCAGCTCAAAGCTGTGGATGTTACGGAGCTTCCTGAGGAGAGGACCACCACCGTCCTGCCCTGAGGCCCCCACCATCTCAGAGTGTACCCGGACAGGGGAGCCCAGGCTGGGGTTGGCGTACGGGCTCTGGAGACCCCCCTGGTTGTTGCTGTTCTCCTCCTCTGTTGCTGCCTAGGGGGGAGGGAAACAGGGGATAGAGTGGTATATGGTTGAACTCAGTCTTCATGGTGTGTGTGTGTGTGTCCACCACACATGTGACAGAGATGAAAATATCTGTTAGAAATTTAGAAAGATGAGAGATCTAAAGATGCAACAACTAGCATGGGTTGACTACTGGACAATGAAAGAAAGTTGATTTGAAAACCAATAGAACATGAGAGAAATAGGCTACTGGTTTCAATGGCATATGGAAGTCATTATGAAATACTTTTGGCTATGCTACTTTGAAGGAAGGAAAGATATACCTCATAATATGAAGTAAAACATTCAGGTTTCAAACAATTAAGTACATGTTTTCAAAATGCATACTGCCTCCAGCTCATTGCAAACTGGTGTGTGACGCGCTGAATCCTGCCTACCGTTGCCTATGCACTTGAATGGCCAATAGGAAGCGAGCTTCAATTGCCAGTTGAGAAATACAAATATTTGCTATTTTTAATCGTGGCCATCAAAACTGTTTTTAACACGCGATTGCGTTTAGAATGATTGGGCTTATAAAAGCACGTTTCACTCCGGCAGCGACGAACAAGCTGTTTGAGGAAGTATAGCAGCAAATCTTGGGGGGGGGGGGGTTCAAAAGCCTATTACCGGCTAACGGAAACCCTGGTGTGTGTATGCTCCTCTCTACCTTCCAGACTGAGGTCAATATGCGGTTGCGGTTGCGGTCCAGCTCCTCCCAGACGTCAGCTTCCTGGTTGGCCCGGGGCATGCTGGGGGATCCGGGGCGGCGGTCTGGAGGAGGGTTGTTCTCCCCATTGTCACTGAGCTGCTCGTCCTGCAGAACATCGTCTGTGTTCTCCCTCGCCAGGTCCCCAGGGATCAGGGATGCATTGGCCATGCTGAAATTATGGAGGGAATGTTACTCTGATGTCACTAACGGGGGGGACCTACAACGTAATTTCCATACCATTTTTTGTTCCACATACTGTAATTTTTTTGTTTGTTCCATTTGTCACAAGACAAATCAAAAAAGCTAATTAAGTTCTAATCATAGCTCTCATTGGCTGATACAATCATCCAATCGAGAGAGCCAAAAACAAAACCATACAAGTTGACATACAGTTCATCCATTCATCAATTAATTAATTAATTAATGTATTCATCCATCCATCCATCCATCCATCCATCCATCCATCCATCCATCCATCCATTCATTCATTCATTCATTCATTCATTCATTCATTCATTCAACAGGTATATTCATTCATTCATTCATTCAACAGGTAGATTCATTCATTCATTCAACAGGTAGATTCATTCGTTCATTCGGTAAACAAGTTAAAAGTGTGTGATCGTGAAAGAGACAAGAAAACCCTGAACCCTCAGTGGACCTTCAAACAGTTAATCCAAGATTCCCAGTCTCTGTGTGTGTGTGTGTTCCCAGTCTCTTACCCCATGTGTGTGTGTGTGTGTGTGTGTGTGTGTTCCCAGTCTCTTACCTTGTGTGTGTGTGTGTGTGTGTGTGTTCCCAGTCTCTTACCCCATGTGTGTGTGTGTGTGTGTGTTCCCAGTCTCTTACCCCGTGTGTGTGTGTGTGTGTGTGTGTGTGTGTGTGTTCCCAGTCTCTTACCCCATGTGTGTGTGTGTGTGTTCCCAGTCTCTTACCCCGTGTGTGTGTGTGTGTGTTCCCAGTCTCTTACCCCATGTGTGTGTGTGTGTGTGTGTTCCCAGTCTCTTACCCCCATGTGTGTGTGTGTGTGTGTTCCCAGTCTCTTACCCCGTGTGTGTGTATGTGTTCCCAGTCTCTTAAACCATGTGTGTGTGTGTGTGTGTGTTCCCAGTCTCTTACCCCATGTGTGTGTGTGTTCCCAGTCTCTTACCCCGTGTGTGTGTATGTGTTCCCCAGTCTCTTTAAACCATGTGTGTGTGTGTGTGTGTGTGTGTTCCCAGTCTCTTACCCCATGTGTGTGTGTGTTCCCAGTCTCTTACCCCATGTGTGTGTGTGTGTGTGTTCCCAGTCTCTTACCCTGTGTGTGTGTGTTCCCAGTCTCTTACCCCATGTGTGTGTGTGTTCCCAGTCTCTTACCCCGTGTGTGTGTGTGTGTGTGTTTCCCAGTCTCTTACCCCGTGTGTGTGTGTTCCCAGTCTCTTACCCCATGTGTGTGTGTGTGTGTTTCCAGTCTCTTACCCCGTGTGTGTGTGTTCCCAGTCTCTTACCCCGTGTGTGTGTGTGTTCCCAGTCTCTTACCCCATGTGTGTGTGTGTTCCCAATCTCTTACCCCATGTGTGTGTGTTCCCAGTCTCTTACCCCATGTGTGTGTGTTCCCAGTCTCTTACCCCATGTGTGTGTGTGTTCCCAGTCTCTTACCCCATGTGTGCAGGGGTGAGGCGTGTGTGGTGCTGTGGTGTGGTGGCTGTAGCGTTGATGGTCAGAGTACCATCAGATCTAGTCCTCTCCCAGTCATACGGGTCATTCTCCACCACGTTGTAGGTCTTCATACTGTTGTCAAACACTGACATCAGCAGCTACAACACAACAGAAAGTCACATGATGTCATATCCTGAGATACCTAACAGCTTGTACAACATCACTGACTGACTGACTGACAGACAGATACTTAGTACTCCAAAAAGAGGGCTCAGACATTCATACACTCATTGCTATGACATTTTGGAGACAATCCAAGATAATGCAGACAATCAGCCATTCTGAAAACATACACTACATACACAAATATTTCCTGGGACTTAATGTATATTGACACAGGGAACTGTAACAAAATGCCTAGTTCGAACCGTTAAAACACATCGATACTGTACACACACAGAGTAGGTAAAGGGAGAGAGATCTGTCATGTTACCTGATAGTCTGGTTTGGTGAAGTAGTCCAGGTTAGAGATGTGATCCAGGAAGACAGTGAACTCAGCAGGTAGGTGTTTCAGCATGAGCCTGTGGTCATAGGTGTCCTTCAGCTTCCCTACATGCTCCTGGGGAGGGTTCACACATGTTGTTATGGAACTATGGCTCAGTTGGTAGAGCATGGCGCCTGCAACGGCAGGATTGTGGGTTTGATTCCCATGGCCACCTTTACATAAAATGTATGCACGGGTGACTGTAAGTCGCTTTGGATAAAAGCGTCTGCTAAAAGGCATATTCACTGAGTGTATAAAACATTATGAAGTTTACTTGCTCTTTTCATGACATAGACTGACCAGGTGAATCCAGGCGAAATTTATGATCCCTTATTGATGTTATTAAATCCACTTCAATCAGTGTAGATGAAGGGGAGGAGACAGGTTAAATAAAAAAAATTATGCCTTACGACGATTGAGATTTAAGTAACAAAATATTTAAATGCCTTTGAACAGGGTATGGTAGTAGGTGCCAGGCGCACCGGCTTGTGTCAAGAACTACAATGCTGCTGGGTTTTTCACGTGTGTATCAAGAATGGTCCAGCACCCAAAGGACATCCAGCCAACTTGACACAACTGTGGAAAGCATTGGAGTCAACATGGGCCAGCATCCCTGTGGAACGCTTTCGACACATTGTAGAGTCCATGCACCGACAAATTGAGGCTATTCTGAGGGCAACTCAATATTAGGAAGGTGTTCCTAATGTTTGGTATACTCAGTGTATATATATATTTATATATATATATATATATATATATATTTATATATATATATATATATATATATATATATATATATATATATATATATATATTTATTTAATTATGTACACAGGTGCATGAGTACATTCATATGCAGCGACGTCAGAGCTGTGACATGTTATTGAGTTAGTCCCTGTCAGCCTCTAGCCAAGTCAAGTTAGCCAAAGCTAACGTTACCATTACAAGTCATGTACGTATGTATCCTGACTATTAGTTCGGCTGAGACTGCTGATTGGTTGGTGTACAGGAAGGAATGTTCAGACTAGATTCTTACTTTGTCTTTGATCTTTCTCCATGGCAACTGTCCAACCATGAACTCCACCAGCATGTAGAAGAGGGACCACAGGTCGTCATGACGACCCATCTCCTTGTTCTTGTGTGCGTTGACGGACGCGTAGCGGACTGTGCCTCTGAACCCTGCTACTGGCCGAGGCTGGGGGAGAGAGAGACTTCACATCAAGCTGCTGTATGACTAACATGGTAGAACCCTGCTACTAACCGAGGCTGGGGGGAGAGAGAGACTTCACATCAAGCTGCTGTATGACTAACATGGTAGAACCCTGCTACTGGCCGAGGCTGGGGGGAGAGAGACTTCACATCAAGCTGCTGTATGACTAACATGGTAGAACCCTGCTACTAACCGAGGCTGGGGGAGAGAGAGACTTCACATCAAGCTGCTATATGACTAACATGGTAGAACCCTGCTACTAACCGAGGCTGGGGGGAGAGAGAGACTTCACATCAAGCTGCTGTATGACTAACATGGTAGAACCCTGCTACTGGCCGAGGCTGGGGGGAGAGAGAGACTTCACATCAAGCTGCTGTATGACTAACATGGTAGAACCCTGCTACTGGCCGAGGCTGGGGGGAGAGAGAGACTTCACATCAAGCTGCTGTATGACTAACATGGTAGAACCCTGCTACTAACCGAGGCTGGGGAGAGAGAGAGACTTCACATCAAGCTGCTGTATAATAATAATAATAATATAATATGCCATTTAGCAGACGCTTTTATCCAAAGCGACTTACAGTCATGCGTGCATACATTTTTTTGTGTATGGGTGGTCCCGGGGATTGAACCCAGTACCTTGGCGTTACAAGCGCCGTGCTCTACCAGCTGAGCTACAGAGGACCACTGTATGACTAACATGGTAGAACCCTGCTACTAACCGAGGCTGGGGGAGAGAGAGACTTCACATCAAGCTGCTGTATGACTAACATGGTAGAACCCTGCTACTGGCCGAGGCTGGGGGGAGAGAGACTTCACATCAAACTGCTGTATGACTAACATGGTAGAACCCTGCTACTAACCGAGGCTGGGGGAGAGAGAGACTTCACATCAAGCTGCTGTATGACTAACATGGTAGAACCCTGCTACTAACCGAGGCTGGGGGGAGAGAGAGACTTCACATCAAGCTGCTGTATGACTAACATGGTAGAACCCTGCTACTGGCTGAGGCTGGGGGAGAGAGAGACTTCACATCAAGCTGCTGTATGACTAACATGGTAGAACCCTGCTACTGGCTGAGGCTGGGGGAGAGAGAGACTTCACATCAAGCTGCTGTATGACTAACATGGTAGAACCCTGCTACTGGCCGAGGCTGGGGGGAGAGAGACTTCACATCAAGCTGCTGTATGACTAACATGGTAGAACCCTGCTACTAACCGAGGCTGGGGGGAGAGAGAGACTTCACATCAAGCTGCTGTATGACTAACATGGTAGAACCCTGCTACTAACCGAGGCTGGGGGGAGAGAGAGAGACTTCACATCAAGCTGCTGTATGACTAACATGGTAGAACCCTGCTACTGGCCGAGGCTGGGGGGAGAGAGAGACTTCACATCAAGCTGCTGTATGACTAACATGGTAGAACCCTGCTACTAACCGAGGCTGGGGGGAGAGAGAGACTTCACATCAAGCTGCTGTATGACTAACATGGTAGAACCCTGCTACTGGCCGAGGCTGGGGGGAGAGAGACTTCACATCAAGCTGCTATACGACTAACATGGTAGAACCCTGCTACTAACCGAGGCTGGGGGGAGAGAGACTTCACATCAAGCTGCTGTATGACTAACATGGTACAACCCTGCTACTTGCTGAGGCTGGGGGAGAGAGACTTCACATCAAGCTGCTGTATGACTAACATGGTAGAACCCTGCTACTAACCGAGGCTGGGGGGAGAGAGAGACTTGACATCAAGCTGCTGTATGACTAACATGGTAGAACCCTGCTACTGGCTGAGGCTGGGGGGAGAGAGAGACTTCACATCAAGCTGCTGTATGACTAACATGGTAGAACCCTGCTACTAACCGAGGCTGGGGGGAGAGAGACTTCACATCAAGCTGCTGTATGACTAACATGGTAGAACCCTGCTACTGGCTGAGGCTGGGGGGAGAGAGACTTCACATCAAGCTGCTATATGACTAACATGGTAGAACCCTGCTACTGGCTGAGGCTGGGGGAGAGAGAGACTTTACATCAAGCTGCTGTATGACTAACATGGTAGAACCCTGCTACTGGCCGAGGCTGGGGGGAGAGAGAGACTTCACATCAAGCTGCTGTATGACTAACATGGTAGAACCCTGCTACTGGCTGAGGCTGGGGGGAGAGAGAGACATCACATCAAGCTGCTGTATGACTAACATGGTAGAACCCTGCTACTAACCGAGGCTGGGGGGAGAGAGACTTCACATCAAGCTGCTGTATGACTAACATGGTAGAACCCTGCTACTAACCGAGGCTGGGGGGAGAGAGACTTCACATCAAGCTGCTGTATGACTAACATGGTAGAACCCTGCTACTAACCGAGGCTGGGGGAGAGAGAGCCTTCACATCAAGCTGCTGTATGACTAACATGGTAGAACCCTGCTACTGGCTGAGGCTGGGGGAGAGAGAGACTTCACATCAAGCTGCTGTATGACTAACATGGTAGAACCCTGCTACTAACCGAGGCTGGGGGGAGAGAGACTTCACATCAAGCTGCTGTATGACTAACATGGTAGAACCCTGCTACTGGCTGAGGCTGGGGGGAGAGAGACTTCACATCAAACTGCTGTATGTCTAACATGGTAGAACCCTGCTACTAACCGAGGCTGGGGGGAGAGAGACTTCACATCAAGCTGCTGTATGACTAACATGGTAGAACCCTGCTACTGGCTGAGGCTGGGGGGAGAGAGACTTCACATCAAGCTGCTGTACAGTGAGGGAAAAAAGTATTTGATCCCCTGCTGATTTTGTACGTTTGCCCACTGACAAAGAAATGATCAGTCAATAATTTTAATGGTAGGTTTATTTGAACAGTGAGAGACAGAATAACAACAAAAAAATCCAGAAAAACGCATGTCAAAAATGTTATAAATTGATTTGCATTTTAATGAGGGAAATAAGTATTTGACCCCTCTGCAAAACATGACTTAGTACTTGGTGGCAAAACCCTTGTTGGCAATCACAGAGGTCAGACGTTTCTTGTAGTTGGCCACCAGGTTTGCACACATCTCAGGAGGGATTTTGTCCCACTCCTCTTTGCAGATCTTCTCCAAGTCATTAAGGTTTCAAGGCTGACGTTTGGCAACTCGAACCTTCAGCTCCCTCCACAGATTTCCTATGGGATTAAGGTCTGGAGACTGGCTAGGCCACTCCAGGACCTTCATGTGCTTCTTCTTGAGCCACTCCTTTGTTGCCTTGGCCGTGTGTTTTGGGTCATTGTCATGCTGGAATACCCATCCACGACCCATTTTCAATGCCCTGGCTGAGGGAAGGAGGTTCTCACCCAAGATCTGACGGTACATGGCCCCATCCATCGTCCCTTTGATGCGGTGAAGTTGTCCTGTCCCCTTAGCAGAAAAACACCCCCAAAGCATAATGTTTCCATCTCCATGTTTGACGGTGGGGATGGTGTTCTTGGGGTCATAGGCAGCATTCCTCCTCCTCCAAACACGGCGAGTTGAGTTGATGCCAAAGAGCTCCATTTTGTTCTCATCTGACCACAACACTTTCACCCAGTTCTCCTCTGAATCATTCAGATGTTCATTGGCAAACTTCAGACGAACATGTGCATATGTGCTTTCTTGAGCATGGGGACCTTGCGGCCGCTGCAGGATTTCAGTCCTTCACGGCGTAGTGTGTTACCAATTGTTTTCTTGGTGACTATGATCCCAGCTGCCTTGAGATCATTGACAAGATCCTCCCGTGTAGTTCTGGGCTGATTCCTCACCGTTCTCATGATCATTGCAACTCCACGAGGTGAGATCTTGCATGGAGCCCCAGGCCGAGGGAGATTGACATTTCGTTTGTGTTTCTTCCATTTGCGAATAATCGCAGCAACTGTTGTCACCTTCTCACCAAGCTGCTTGGCGATGGTCTTGTAGCCCATTCCAGCCTTGTGTAGGTCTACAATCTTGTCCCTGACATCCTTGGAGAGCTCTTTGGTCTTGGCCATGGTGGAGAGTTTGAAATCTGATTGATTGATTGCTTCTGTGGACAGGTGTCTTTTATACAGGTAACAAACTGAGATTAGGAGCACTCCCTTTATGAGTGTGCTCTAATCTAAGCTTGTTACCTGTATAAAAGACACCTGGGAGACAGAAATCTTTCTGATTGAGAGGGGGTCAAATACTTATTTTCCTCATTAAAATGCAAATCAATTTATAACATTTTTGACATGCGTTTTTCTGGATGTTTTTGTTGTTATTCTGTCTCTAACTGTTCAAATTAACCTACCATTAAAATTATAGACTGATCATTTCTTTGTCAGTGGGAAAACGTACAAAATCAGCAGGGGATCAAATACTTTTTTCCCTCACTGTATGACTAACATGGTACAACCCTGCTACTAACCGAGGCTGGGGGAGAGAGAGACTTCACATCAAGCTGCTGTATGACTAACATGGTAGAACCCTGCTACTGGCTGAGGCTGGGGGGAGAGAGACTTCACATCAAGCTGCTGTATGACTAACATGGTAGAACCCTGCTACTAACCGAGGCTGGGGGGAGAGAGAGACTTCACATCAAGCTGCTGTATGACTAACATGGTAGAACCCTGCTACTGGCTGAGGCTGGGGGAGAGAGAGACTTCACATCAAGCTGCTGTATGACTAACATGGTACAACCCTGCTACTAACCGAGGCTGGGGGAGAGAGAGACTTCACATCAAGCTGCTGTATGACTAACATGGTAGAACCCTGCTACTAACCGAGGCTGGGGGGAGAGAGAGACTTCACATCAAGCTGCTGTATGACTAACATGGTACAACCCTGCTACTAACCGAGGCTGGGGGAGAGAGAGACTTCACATCAAGCTGCTGTATGACTAACATGGTAGAACCCTGCTACTGGCCGAGGCTGGGGGGAGAGAGAGACTTCACATCAAGCTGCTGTATGACTAACATGGTAGAACCCTGCTACTAACCGAGGCTGGGGGGAGAGAGACTTCACATCAAGCTGCTGTATGACTAACATGGTAGAACCCTGCTACTAACCGAGGCTGGGGGAGAGAGAGCTGCTGTACGACTAACATAGTAGAACCTTACATGACAATAGCACACAATCAACAAACAGACATGGCCAGTTTCCTGGACAGATCGAAGCCTAGTCCCGGACTAAAAAAGCGATTTCAATTTAGATTCACCATTAAGCACGCTTTGTAGTCTAGGACTAAGCTTAATATGTGTCCGGGAAACCGGTCCACAGTGTCTAACCACACATGTGGACAGACACTTACCGGTCGGACCTCTTGGCAGGAGTTAGTGAACTGGCGTGCCAGACCAAAGTCCAGAATGTAGCAGGTCTACAGGTACTGGGAACCGGCCATGGCAAGGGACTAGGGGGGAGAGAGAGAGAGAGAGAGACGCAGAGTCCAGCAGAGGAGAGACTGGGACGGCCGACGATGGAAGAGGAGACTATGAGGAGAGAGAGATGAGAGAGAGAGAGAGAGAGGAGGAGAGAGAGTGAGAGAGGAGAGGAGAGGAGAGAGAGAGAGAGAGAGAGAGAGATAGGAGAGAGAGAGAGGAGAGAGGAGAGAGAAGAGAGAGAGAGAGAGAAAAGGGAGAGGAGGGAGGAGAGAGGAGAGAGAGAGAGAGAGAGAGAGAGAGAGAGAGAGAGAGAGAGAGAGAGGAGAGGGAAGAAAAAGAGGAAGGATTTTAATATCAACAATTATAGTCTGATTCTTGTCACTTTCACAGAAAGAAAATGTCAAATTACTGCTGATGATGATGATCTCTTCATTCCAAAAAGCTAGAGTCCCTAAGCATACACACAAACACACTCCACCCTCACACACACACACACACACACACAGTCCCTGCCTGTCTCACCGGTTTGATGTCTCTGTGCAGGAAGCCAACAGAGTGGATGCTCTCTATAGCTTCTAGTATCTGTTGTCCCAGTCTCAGGGTGCTGCTGACTGTAAACGTGCCCCGCGTCATACTGCGCCTCAGGTCTGCCAGGTTACGCCCCTAAAAACACACAACCCATGTAGCCTCCATACTCACTCACAAACACTTAACACTTAGTCACATCAGCTCACTGACATCACTACAGAGAATTAGAGTTGTGTAGACACACAAGGTGACGAGGAGGCTCATCCTTACCTGAAGCTCCATCACCACATAGTTGAAGCGGTCATTACGGCCGCATCCAACAAAGCGACACACGTGGTCTTTACCTGGAAGACACAGTAGAATACGGCATTGTTTATGACATAGTATAATCACATTCCACTGTGCTCCAGTGCCCTCCCCCATCCAGGCCACCCAGCCAAGCTCAGCCTGCCGCTGGTCCTACTGATTTATGGTCTGTGAGTGTGTCCGTGTGTTAGAGTGTGTGTGCTTGTCTCAGGGGACCCTGCTTCACAGCCAGACTCCGGCCAGCAGCCACACCCCAGAGCCCTTCTACACAGCAACACAGACCAGAGCCCTTCTATACACACAGCAGCACAGACCAGAGCCCTTCTATACACACAGCAACACAGACCAGAGCCCTTCTACACACACACAGCAACACAGACCAGAGCCCTTCTATACACACAGCAACACAGACCAGAGCACTTCTACACAAACAGCAGCACAGACCAGAGCCCTTCTACACACACAGCAACACAGACCAGAGCCCTTCTATACACACAGCAGCACAGACCAGAGCCCTTCTATACACACAGCAACACAGACCAGAGCCCTTATACACACACAGCAACACAGACCAGAGCCCTTCTATACACACAGCAACACAGACCAGAGCCCTTCTACACACACACAGCAACACAGACCAGAGCCCTTCTACACAGCAACACAGACCAGAGCCCTTCTACACACACAGCAACACAGACCAGAGCCCTTCTATACACACAGCAACACAGACCAGAGCCCTTCTATACACACAGCAACACAGACCAGAGCCCTTATACACACACAGCAACACAGACCAGAGCCCTTCTATACACACAGCAACACAGACCAGAGCCCTTCTATACACACAGCAACACAGACCAGAGCCCTTCTACACAAACAGCAACACAGACCAGAGCCCTTCTACACAAACAGCAACACAGACCAGAGCCCTTCTATACACACAGCAACACAGACCAGAGCCCTTCTACACACACAGCAACACAGACCAGAGCCCTTCTATACACACAGCAACACAGACCAGAGCCCTTCTACACACACAGCAACACAGACCAGAGCCCTTCTATACACACAGCAACACAGACCAGAGCCCTTCTATACACACAGCAACACAGACCAGAGCCCTTCTACACACACAGCAACACAGACCAGAGCCCTTCTACACACACAGCAGCACAGACCAGAGCCCTTCTATACACACAGCAGCACAGACCAGAGCCCTTCTACACACACAGCAGCACAGACCAGGGAGCTACCCCACTTTACTCTACTCTCCCATACACTCATTCTCTCACTCCATTTTCAACCTCATCTTCACTCTCTCTCCTCCTTTTCCTCCTCCCCTTCCCAGCTTCATCATAATTGACGGCACGCAAATGCTTGAAAAGCGTGAGAGGGGCTAGGCCTACCATACATGTTTTTTTTCACCCCTAAAATAGTCTACAAAGGCTTATTTTAAAGGTATTTTATCTCAATATCAAATCATTTCTGGGTAACAATTAAGTACCTTACTGTGATTGTTTTCAATTAAAATGGTCCAAAAACAAAAATAATAGCTCCTTAGCGAAGACTAATTTATCAAGCAAGAATTTTGCTAGGACTGTTTGGAAGTGGCCTGAGTGGGAAGGGAAAAACTGAACTATCTGTTATTAGCAGAGAGGTTTGGAACTCACCAGGCAGGCCAAAACTCCCTCCCACCATAACAGGCTGAAATTTCCGGCGGTCTTTTCAAACAGCTCTTACACTAAAAGAGCATTATCATCATTTTCACAATTTCACAGTATTATTCCAACCTCATAGTGTGGAAATATATATAAAACACAGGAAATCGTGTTTTTGACTGCACTGGGCCTTTAAGCCTTTCAGTCAATGTTTGTTGAAAAAAAGAGGTTAGAGGAGAAATGTTGGGGGATGGGAGGATGGGAAGAGTTTAGCTGGTTTCAAGTTACATCATCCTTCCCTAGAACTACAGTGAGGGAAAAAAGTATTTGATCCCCTGCTGATTTTGTACGTTTGCCCACTGACAAAGACGTGATCAGTCTATAATTTTAATGGTAGGTTTATTTGAACAGTGAGAGACAGAATAACAACAAAAAAATCCTGAAAAACGCATGTCAAAAATTGTATAAATTGGAAGAAACTAGGCTAATGCAATTGAAGGTATTAAATTGTTGCTTACTGAAACTCCCCAAGTCATCCAATCATTGTAATAAATGTGTGTGGTCAACTAGATGATAATTTCTGAACCATTTTGATTGGGACAGCGTCATTGCGCTGCTTTGAGACAAGCGTGGGGACTCAATCAATGTCCGATTTTTGTTTTCACTGAATCTCCGTTTGGATATTGGTTAGGCTACAATCAGGCTGTGGAAATGTTGGCTAAGGTGAGTACTGCTCATGATCATCTTGTCTAGTTGGCTCATTTATTACAACATTTTGCCAGCATGTTATGTATTTTAACAAGTGGATTATTTTGCTTTTCACTCGCAGTCGCTTAGTAGCCTGGGCCTATGCCCGAACCAAAGCATGTGACTTCACTGACTTTCACTGAATCTCCGTCTGTATAGGCTATTTGATCATTGGTTTCTGGCTGGGCAAATAAGTGGAGCTTGGGAGCTTTTGTGAAAGAGCCCAGTTAGAAAGATATGGCATATAGAAGCAAACCGGATGGGCATCATGAAAATGATCGGAGAGGTTGCGAGTAGAAGAAGTTCAGGAGAAAAAACTAACAAAATATAATTATTGTAAAATTGACTGTGTCCATAAAATGTATATAGGAAGTATAAGCTGGAAGTAGAGGTCTAAGCATTGTTGTTAACTAGTTTACTCCAATTAGGGAAGGGGTGGTGGGGTTGGAAAGAAATTTTTTTTTTAATAAGGATATGTATGTGTATGTATGTATGTATGTATGTATGTATGTATGTATGTATGTGTATGTATGTATGTATGTATGTATGTATGTATGTATGTATGTATGTATGTATGTATGTATGTATGTATGTATGTATGTATGTATGTATGTATGTATGTATATATATATATATAAACATGGGGGATTGGAAGTGATGCAGACAATTACATTGATGGAAGTTACAATCTATCTGCAATATTAAAGCTGATCTACCCCCTAAAAATAAACAAAAGCAGAAAAAAAGAAGTGGAGGTGGTATAGCTCATCTATCACTGATCAGAAACATTTAGCATGCAATAATGTAGCCCGAATCAAGTATAAGCCTATTATCCCAACATAGACCCACTCTGCCCTCTATCCCAACATAGACCCACTCTGCCCTCTATCCCAACATAGCCCCGCCCTGCCCTCTATCCCAACATAGCCCCGCCCTGCCCTCTATCCCAACATAGCCCCGCCCTGCCCTCTATCCCAACATAGCCCCGCTCTGCCCTCTATCCCAACATAGCCCGCCCTGCCCTCTATCCCAACATAGCCCCGCCCTGCCCTCTATCCCAACATAGCCCCGCCCTGCCCTCTATCCCAACATAGCCCCGCCCAACACTTCCTTGTTTCCTTTCTCTACATTACCCTTCAGAGTCAGCGTATCCCTTTGCCTTATCGAGTAGCAGACCATGAACCTTTAAGAAAATATACAACAATATAAATTCCATCTCTTGACATTAAATTAGGTTGAATGTATACTTTGAAATGACTACTGGTCAGTTTAGGGCAGGGGGTTGGTTGAGTTTTGGGCAGATGGCTAGTGGTTGAGTTTAGAGTAGGAGGGTTGTGGTTGAGTTTAGGGTAGGACGGTTGTGGTTGAGTTTAGGGTAGGAGGGTTGTGGTTGAGTTTAGGGTAGGAGGGTTGTGGTTGAGTTTAGGGTAGGAGGGTTGTGGTTGAGTTTAGGGTAGGAGGGTTGTGGTTGAGTTTAGGGTAGGAGGGTTGTGGTTGAGTTTAGGGTAGGGTAGGAGGGTTGTGGTTGAGTTTAGGGCAGGCTTGTGGTTGCGATTAGGGCAGGAAGCTATGGTTGAGTTTAGGGCAGGTGGTTGATGGTTGAGTTTAGGGTAGGGTTGGGTGGGCAGGGGGAAGGTTAAGTACACGTAATTGGGGTTTACCCTGGAGTTTCTTGAGGACGGCCACCTCCATCTTGAGGACCTGTTTGGGCTGCTGTGCTGACTCCACCTTCAGAGCAACACTGACCCTGGTCAGCAGGTCCAACGCCTCGTAGATCTCCCCGAAGCCACCGCCGCCGATCTTCTTTGCCTACACACACATCCCAAGGCAAAACGTCATATCATAATGTGGAAAACATATGTTAATTCTTATATTTTTCAATCTTCCCATCATCCAACCTTCCTCCCCCATTCCTAGACACATTTACATGTTTCTTCCTCCCTAATCAGTATCCACACACAAACACGAAAAACACACACACACAATCTTGTGTGACACAAGCAGCTCAACTCAAAGGGATTAGCAGTGGCAGAGTTACATAACATCAGCACCTCAGTCAGTACTAGGGTTGAATAATTTCTTGGTATCACTTTTCTTCCGGGTAATCCAGTATTTTCCGCCAAAACCGGAAGTGTAATTCAAAAGTATTATAAAGCATATAAAGTTGAAGTCAGAAGTTTACATACACTTAGGTTGGAGTCATTAAAACTCGTTTTTCAACCACTCCACACATTTCTTGTTAACAAACTATAGTTTTGGCAAGTCGGTTAGGACATCTACTTTGTGCATGACACAAGTAATTTTTCCAATAATTGTTTAGAGACAGATTATTTCACTTATAATTCACTGTATCACAATTCCAGTGGGTCAGAAGTTTACATACACTAAGTAGACTGTGCCTTTAAACATCTTGGAAAATTCCAGAACATTATGTCATGGCTTTAGAAGCTTCTGATAGGATAATTGACATAATTGGAGGTGTACCTGTGGATGTATTTCAAGGCCTACCTTCAAACTCAGTGCCTCTTTGCTTGACATCATGGGAAAATCAAAAGAAATCAGCCAAGACCTCAGAAAAAAAACTGTAGACCTCCACAAGTCTGGTTCATCCTTGGGAGCAATTTCCAAACGCCTGAAGATACCACGTTCATCTGTACAAACAATAGTACGCAAGTATAAACACCATGGGACCACGCAGCCGTCATACTGCTCAGGAAGGAGACGCGTTCTGTCTCCTAGAGATGAACGTACCTTGGTGCGAAAAGTGCAAATCAATCCCAGAACAACAGCAAAGGACCTTGTGAAGATGCTGGAGGAAACAGGTACAAAAGTATCTATATCCACAGTAAAACGAGTCCTATATCGACATAACATTTACATCATTTAGCAGATGCTCTTATCCAGAGCGACTTACAAATAGGTGCATTCACCATATAGCCAGTGGGATAACCACTTTACAATATGTTTATTTTTATTATTATTATTATTATTTATTTTTTCTTTGGGGTGGGGTAAGGGGGGGTAGAAGGATTACTTTATCCTATCCCATGTATTCCTTAAAGAGGTGGGGTTTCAAGTGTCTCCGGAAGGTGGTGAGTGACTCCGCTGTCCTGGCGTCGTGAGGGATCTTGTTCCACCATTGGGGTGCCAGAGCAGCGAAAAGTTTTGACTGGGCTGAGCGGGAACTGTGCTTCCGCAGAGGTAGGGGGGCCAGCAGGTCAGAGGTGGATGAACGCAATGCCCTTGTTTGGGTGTAGGGACTGATGAGAGCCTGAAGGTACGGAGGTGCCGTTCCCCTCACAGCTCCGTAGGCAAGCACCATGGTTTTGTAGCAGATGCGAGCTTCAACTGGAAGCCAGTGGAGTGTGCGGAGGAGCGGGGTGACGTGAGAGAACTTGGGAAGGTTGAACACCAGACGGGCTGCGGCATTCTGGATGAGTTGTAGGGGTTTAATGGCACAGGCAGGGAGCCCAGCCAACAGCGAGTTGCAGTAATCCAGACAGGAGTGCCTGGATTAGGACCTGTGCCGCTTCCTGTGTAAGGCAGGGTCGTACTCTCCGAATGTTGTAGAGCATGAACCTACAGGATCGGGTCACCGCCTTGATGTTAGCGGAGAACGACAGGGTGTTGTCCAGGGTCAGGCCAAGGCTCTTCGCACTCTGGGAGGAGGACACAACGGAGTTGTCAACCGTGATGGCGAGATCATGGAACGGGCAGTCCTTCCCCGGGAGGAAGAGCAGCTCCGTCTTGCCGAGGTTCAGCTTGAGATGGTGATCCGTCATCCACACTGATATGTCTGCCAGACATGCAGAGATGCGATTCGCCACCTGGTTATCAGAAGGGGGAAAGGAGAAGATTAGTTGTGTGTCATCTGCATAGCAATGATAGGAAAGGCCATGTGAGGATATGACAGAGCCAAGTGACTTGGTGTATAGCGAGAATAGGAGAGGGCCTAGAACTGAGCCCTGGGGGATACCAGTGGTGAGAGCACGTGGTGCGGAGACAGATTCTCGCCACGCCACTTGGTAGGAGCGACCGGTCAGGTAGGACGCAATCCAAGAGTGAGCCGCGCTGGAGATGCCCAACTCGGAGAGGGTGGAGAGGAGGATCTGATGGTTCACAGTATCAAAGGCAGCAGACAGGTCTATAAGGACAAGAGCAGAGGAGAGAGAGTTAGCTTTAGCAGTGCGGAGAGCCTCCATGACACAGAGAAGAGCAGTCTCAGTTGAATGACCAGTCTTGAAACCTGACTGGTTTGGATCAAGAAGGTCATTCTGAGAGAGATAGCAAGAGAGTTGGCTAAAGACGTTACGCTCAAGAGTTTTGGAGAGAAAAGAAAGAAGGGATACTGGTCTGTAGTTGTTGACATCAGAGGGATCGAGTGTTGGTTTTTTGAGAAGGTGTGCAACTCTCGCTCTCTTGAAGACGGAAGGGACATAGCCAGCGGTCAAGGATGAGTTGATGAGCGAGGTGAGGTAAGGGAGAAGGTCACCGGAGATGGTCTGGAGAAGAGAGGATGGGATAGGGTCAAGCGGGCAGGTTGTTGGGAGGCCGGCCGTCACAAATCGCAAGATTTCATCTGGAGAGAGAGGGGAGAAAGAAGTCAAAGCATAGGGTAGGGCAGTGTGAGCAGGACCAGCAGTGTCATTTGACTTAACAAACGAGGATCGGATGTCGTCAACCTTCTTTTCAAAATGGTTGACGAAGTCATCCACAGAGAGGGAGGAGGGGAGGGGAGGGGGAGGAGGATTCAGCAGGGAGGAGAAGGTGGCAAAGAGTTTCCTAGGGTTAGAGGCAGATGCTTGGAATTTAGAGTGGTAGAAAGTGGCTTTAGCAGCAGAAACAGATGAAGAAAATGTAGAGAGGAGGGAGTGAAAAGATGCCAGGTCCGCAGGGAGTCTAGTTTTCCTCCATTTTCGCTCGGCTGCCCGGAGCCCTGTTCTGTGAGCTCGCAATGAGTCGTCAAGCCACGGAGCAGGAGGGGAGGACCGAGCCGGCCGGGAGGATAGCGGACATAGAGAGTCAAAGGATGCAGAAATGGAGGAGAGGAGGGTTGAGGAGGCAGAATCAGGAGATTGGAGGGAGAAGGATTGAGCAGAGGGAAGAGATGATAGGATGGAAGAGGAGAGAGTAGCGGGAGAGAGAGAGCGAAGGTTGCGACGACGCATTACCATCTGAGTAGGGGCAGAGTGAGTAGTATTGGAGGAGAGCGAGAGATAAAAGGATACAAAGTGGTGGTCGGACACATGGAGGGGAGTTGCAGTGAGATTAGTAGAAGAACAGCATCTAGTAAAGATGAGGTCAAGCGTATTGCCTGCCTTGTGAGTAGGGGGGGACGGAGAGAGGGTGAGGTCAAAAGAGGAGAGGAGTGGAAAGAAGGAGGCAGAGAGAAATTAGTCAAAGGTAGACGTAGGGAGGTTGAAGTCACCCAGAACTGTGAGGGGTGAGCCATCCTCAGGAAAGGAACTTATCAAGGCGTCAAGCTCATTGATGAACTCTCCAAGGGAACCTGGAGGGCGATAAATGACAAGGATGTTAAGCTTGAAAGGGCTAGTGACTGTGACAGCATGGAATTCAAATGAGGAGATAGACAGATGGGTTAGGGGAAAAAGAGAGAATGTCCACTTGGGAGAGATGAGGATTCCTGTGCCACCACCCCGCTGACCAGATGCTCTCGGGGTATGCGAGAACACATGGTCAGACGAGGAGAGAGCAGTAGGAGTAGCAGTGTTTTCAGTGGTAATCCATGTTTCCGTCAGCGCCAAGAAGTCGAGGGACTGGAGGGTAGCATAGGCTGAGATGAACTCTGCCTTGTTGGCTGCAGAACGGCAGTTCCAGAGGCTGCCGGAGACCTGGAACTCGACGTGGGTTGTGCATGCAGGGACCACCAGGTTAGAGAGGCAGCAGCCACGCGGTGTGAGGCGTTTGTATAGCCTGTGCGGAGAGGAGAGAACAGGGATAGACAGAGGCATAGTTGACAGGCTACAGAAAATGGCTACAATAATGCAAAGGAGATCGGAATGAAATGAACTAAACATCTGGGAAAGCAAGAGAGCGGGGCCTCCCTCACTTACGTTTCACTGAAACACCCAAATATAACTCTCCCAACTTCCACCTCAGAAACTATAATTGTTGTAAACTACAGCGGTTCAATGTTTTCTAGGAATAGACTAACTTAGTTTATTCAGCTAGCTAACTTGGTACAGTATTCTTCTGTGAAAACCGTCCAGGGCACCTAGTCATATGACACCACAGCGAACTAGCATGCCGGACTCCAACAACACGGTTTAGCACCAATACTCGGCCACAACAAACCACCAGTGTGTCAACACGCCAAGCAGATCATTCGTGTCCGTGTCTAACGTTGTGGGCTAGTCCGGACAGCTTGAGCGTGTCCGTCGTCAACTTATTCAGCCAGTTAGTTAGCTAGAATAGTTAGCATACTAGCTAGCCATTTCTTTCTGCCAACGAAGAAACCCGTCCTCCCACGGCACGAACACACAGAGAGAGCCAAGCTAACGTTAACTAGTCACCCATGTCCCGAATTCCCTTGAACGACTCTGGCTACCAATATGTAAAAACAAAACACAAATGTAGGTTATAACTTACCCCTAGCAGCTACTGTTAGCTAGCCAAGTGCAAAGCTAGCCACTGAATTGACTCAGCCAGTTCGCGTCTGAAAGGCCGCTCAGCAAGGAAGAAGCCACTGCTCCAAAACCGCCATAAAAAAGCCAGACTACAGTTTGCAACTGCACATGGGGACAAAGATCGTACTTTTTTGAGAAATGTCCTCTGGTCTGATGAAACAA